AATATTTAAAAATTTAGCTAAATACAGATCTGAAAACAATTTTATTAGACCATCAAATTACATAGAAATTTCAAACATGATAAGCAATGTTGCAAAAAGTTTTGACATTTTGGAAACAAATTTGAGCGTTCTACATAATTATTTTGATGTGTGTGTGATCCAACGAATCATTTTCAGACTTGTATTTAGCTAAGTATTTAGATACTCCAGCAAAATCGACCTTTCTGTGCAGATTTTTTTTACTGAATCTTTAAATAAAAATAATCTATACTTAAAACTAATATTATTTTATATATTTATATATTATTTCAGTCTTTGTTTAACAAACTGTACCATAAGTAAACTGGAATTTAATATTAAAAATGTTTTTAATATTTGTCATTCTTTAAATTACTACCAATAGCACGTAAAAATTCCGGGGATTGTCCCCGGAAAATGGGAACGTCTGTTAATCTTATTTGAAAGTGCCTAAGAGAAGAAAATTAATTGTCAGTAATTGCCGGTAAATTTAGGTTCAGTCTTGTGCTTCTGCGAACCCTTTAGCTCTTCATAGACTGTTATTCTTTGTGAACATGTTTGTTAGCCGTGAGCTCATCAAAATGGTGATTCATTTTGACAGATTAAATCTACAGCGAACGAGAGTCAGTCACAGCATTTGTGGTGCCATTGTTAGCTGCGCGACGCTTCTTTCTTCACGATGACCCAGAGGAGATTGCGATCAGATCGATTCAATTCTTGACCTGTATACATCGTTCAAAGATTTTTCCAAAGTATGAATTTGACACACATAAAAGCGAAAGAAACAAGAAATACAAGATCTATTTAAAAAATGTTTCCCAAATTTTATAATTTTTTTAACGAGCTCTTTTTATAATTTATTTACCCTCATATCACTTGAAATATTCTCTTTTTCAGTGGATATGTCTTTGCCGACGCTGTTTCTATTTTTAGAAGCAGTTCTAGTGGGGAAAACATTTTTCGGGAACGTAATAAGTATTTCATATTGAATGATATATTTTTTGAATCGACGATTTTTAACAAACATCATCATATTTTCAGTAATATCGAATTCTAAATATAATGAACGAAACGGAATATAGAGAGACGCAGAAGTAAAATAATAATTTCCGTATGTACAGATTGCGATTAACGAGGAAAATGCGGTATGAACGCGAGCAGGTCCAGCTTAGATATCTTTTAACGTGTTAATGTCTCGGCCGTTGCTTGACTTCGCGACAGACGGAACATGTGCGAATTCTTGGTCTAGGTACGTCATATATCTACCGCGTACAGAAATATGTATTATTTATCTACACTGCGATTCTAACAGAACTAAAAGAAGATCCCTCTCAGTAATCTGAGTAATCTCAGAAAACCTCTCGCGTTAAAAAAGTTCCATAACAATAAATATTAATTTCTTTCTATGCGACATATATATGAATTATCTATTGAATATAGGCCAATATTTAGCGAATGTATGCAAAGTTGGTGTATCCCTAGTAGCAAGCTACGTCATTTTGCCGTTAAAAGACGTCAGCTTGCTATCAGGGATATCAGCCATATCGTCTGGAGGCGCCTTTAACGAGATTTTTTTAATCAAAGAAGATTCTGCTGTAGCAACATCAAATAAGTGATTATTCGAATTATCAAATTTCGTCGCTTACACGTCAAATATATATTGCAAGATTATCACTCTTATAACTGGATCGAAAGCAGGACAATTTCTCAAAAAAAAAAAAAAAAAACAACGGAGATCTCCAAGATTAACTTTTTCTTCCAGCACGCGCGGTAGGATCGAGCCAACTAGAACGGATTAAGGATACAGCGTTTGTTATAGGCGCATAGATCACGATGATGAGCCGTAACGAGTGCGTGTCGAGCGAGAGGTAGGGCGATCGTATACACGGGACGAGCATGGGGTACAACCCGTACAACCGCACGTCCGTAGCCCGTACGACAGGAGCGCGTTTCGAGTGCACGCTCGCGCTCGCGCGATCGGCCGAGCGAGTTGGAGGTCGGAGGTGTATATTGGCCATTTCCGCAGGAAGCCCTAGGTAACCTGTAACCGCCATTGAGTTTCCAACTGAACGTGCCACGGATCTGTGCTATCGTCTCATAACGCGATGCGTGCCTGCGCTCTGAATCCGCTCGCGCGTCGCGCCCCCGAAACGCTAATTCTAGTCGATTCCCCGCTCCCGATTCTCGCGCCCGATTCCGACCTTTTCAGTCTTTCCACAGTGGCTCGCAAGAACGAGCGATGTTAATTCCTCCCAGTAAACGTGACGGAAAGTTCTCTCTATTCTCGGTTAGCAGCGTTCTTCTCATAAATATACATTGTTAAAAATGTTTGTGAATTTACAATAAAAATTTGCAGTAAATTTACAAACTATATAACGTTTTGTTGTGATTTCACAATATTTGTAAATTTACAGTACATCTTTGTTGGATAAAAACTTCCAATACTTTTGGAAGTTTACAACAGAAATTTCTTATAGTGTACGTCTTCCATTAAAAAAAGATAAAATTACACGGAATATAAACAGTTTTGTTAAGTATTTAAAAATTTAGTTAGATACAGATTTGAAAGTAATTTTGTTAGACTATCAAAATAATTAAATAATTATGAAAGATACTCAAACTGGTTATTAAATGTCAAACTATCCAAATTCTTTGGAGTGAAATCTCACTCTTTTAGAATGAGATCCACTCCAAAGAATTTATAAAGGACTTTTTTACAGCACTGCTCATTATGTTTGAGTTTCTTACGTAATTTTTTGATAGTTCAACAAAATTATTTTCATATCTATCTAAATTTTTAGATACTTCAGCACAAAATCGTTCTTTTAGTGTAGAAATTTACTTGTTATTTGTATTATATAATAATATATTGTTTATATTCTTATGATATTATACAAAAAACATTTATTATTGATTATACATATATTATATTCTTCTTATGTATCTACTATAATATAAATAAAAGAAATAAGAAAACTTTTTAGAAAGATTAATGTAATAAAATAAAATATCGTTAACTGCTCGATCAAGATACATATAATCGCTTGATAAATATATTATACATATATGCGGTGTATTATGATTTATATGATAAAATCAGAGCAATTTCGTTTGAAATAAGATCAATTTATTTTCAATTCAGTTTGGTACAAAGTATGATAAAATTACTAATATGCTAATTTCATGGACTGAAAGGGAGAGGAGAGGAATTGACTATACAATTGGCGGGTTAATTCGCGGTGACTGTTTTGTTTTGCATGCAAAGCAATTGTTGAATGAAAAGAGCGGCTTTTAAGTGCAAGTTGTCTAGACAACGCTAGTCCAAATCAACCCTGCTTTACTCGATACACCATAATTCGGCTCTATTAGATCCAATAAAGTGTATCAGAGAGGAGGAATGCGCCCCGAGCCAATGATAAATGCGATGTCCGTTGGGCCGTTCGTGCGCCAAAACACACGACGCATGTGGGGTGCGGGTGGACACCTTAATTTAGATTGAACGTAGTTATCGGGACTATCATCACTACACTGAGAAAAAAAATTTGTTCAATTAACTAAACACATTTAGTTGTTTGCAGATTTGGTTAATTCAACAAATTTTATCTAATTGAATTTAACCTTAGTCTGTTTAACAAGCTGTTCAATGTTAAACAGACTACGGTTAAATTCGATTTTTTGTTGAATTAACCAAATCTGCAAACAACTAAATATATGTATTTAGTTAGTTGAACAAATTTTTTTTCTCAGTGTACAGGCATATCACACGTTTGCATTGGAGGGGAGGCCCTTGAAAAAAATAACGACTGAACTTTAATTAAAACCTGTGAAAAATTGCCCTGCCTGCTTTAAATACGTTATTTCTATAATAAAGTTATTTAATAAAGTTATTAAATAAAAAATTATTCATTTTCCAAAAAGGACCTAATTATGAAGTCCTTTTTGGAAAAACTTTTTAATATTTGTTATGATAGTGCTTATTTTAAAGAGAACGTATGAATAGGATTGACTGTCTTAAAATTTATATATATGTATATATTTCAATTTTATATTACATGTCTATGTGTTAATTTTAATATTTTGTCGCAATTAAAATCGTTAGACATATAAAAAAATTATGTTAAAGTTTCTATATAAATTTCAAAATTTTTGAAAATTTTAAATATATAATTTTATAATTTTTTTGGATTTTTTATACGAATGGAATACTTTTTAGAAATGCTAAGAAAATCTATATTTTATCGAGAATTCGTTTTTCTAGATTTATATACATATGTGAATTATAAAATAAGATTTCTCATTTTGTAATTTTTAAGAAAACTTATAAAATTTAAAGATATTTAAGATATTTTTAGAAATTTAAGATATAAAAAAAAATTCTTAAATATTACGAGAATTTAAGATATTAAAAAAAATTCTTAAAATATTACGAGACATAAAAATTATTTTTTCATCAGCGTCGCAATTTGTTCCAGTTCACAATTATCATAAGCAGTACGATAAATGATTGCATAAATTATCAATAGAGTCCGCCACAAATCGGACAGCTGAAGTCTTTGGTACATGATGGGTTTTTCTCGTGCTTGGTTAAGAAAATGTTGCATATTTTTTAATAGCTAATAAATGCTGGATACTTTTTAATAGCCCCTGGGGTCGTATTCTCGAAAAATATCGCATGCAAAAATATACTTAGTATATGTGTTATATCAGAGAGGTTACATATATCATAGATTTTCCTAGTATTTTCGTATGCGATATTTTTTAAAGCTTCTGCGATCTGTTACTTTATAGAATTCTTATCATTCTTATCAATTTAACAATACTAAAATTATTTGTAGATCAAATATGGATTACGTATTTCATATTATATCTCAAAAAATTATCTCCCTTATATTTCATAATTATTCATTGCATAAGAAAGCGCGCAGGTTGGAAATTAACACTACGTTTTCAAAGGAGTGTCGTTTCATGAGAACCGTCTCGAAAGGAGCAAGTAGGAATTTGCAAGAGCATTTGTGACTCGTGAATCACGTTAGTGTGCGAGACAGAGCGTAGAGGAGTGCACTTCAGAGGTATATAGGAGATTCAAGATGGAAGACGGTGACAATAAAGTGGAAATTGAATTAGGTAAAGATAGGAAGTCGTACGCCGGTATACCGGAGGCTGATTTTGTGGTAAGTACGATTTTATTAATATTTATTTTATGCATGTACACGCGCGCTCGTGTCATACACATTCACAAAATCTGCATATTATTATTCCCGTAACTCTCTTGATTTTTGTTGGAATCGTTTTCTACAATAAATTTTCATTAATCGTTCTTTCCGCGCGAAAAGAACATATATATTGCATTACTGTCCAAGGACGTAGAGAGAAGCAACTCTCATTACTTTTATTGACAATTAAAATTCCATGTATATGTATTTGATCAATCAAAATGTCAATCGATTGATCGAACCTTATATGGTAACTAAAAAGACCATTTTCTTGTTTTATTCTTGTGAATTTGCTATTCTATTTTCTATTTGCTTCGTTTTTTGGTTAATTCAAGTCGATTCGGATGATATTATTAAACGAATATATATGCATTGTACAGAAATATTTTTATGTTTGCCTTTATTAAACCATTGATAATTATAATTATCTTTTTATTAAATAAAAAATGAAAACATAAAATATATATATTTTATAATCATAAAATTGATTGAACTAAGTTTACAATCTTACATCGAGTCATTCATGTCCTACAATTTCAGGACGATGTCGAGGCTTTTATGGCAAAACCAGAAAACGATTCTGTGGACAAAGTACTCAGAAAGCTGGACGAGAGCCATGGAAAGTACAAGTTTATGGAGTTTAACCTAGTCAACAAACGAAGACGCTTAAAATCACAAATACCAGATCTCGAAAGATCTTTAGAGATGATCGAGAAATTACAGATTGAGAAGAGTACCTTAGAAACGCAATTTTTATTATCAGAACAAGTTTACGCAAAAGCCATAATACCACCTACCGACAAAGTGTGTTTATGGTTAGGCGCTAATGTCATGCTAGAATATACCTTAGACGATGCCCAAGAAGTGCTGACCAAAAATATTGAGGCGGCCAAGAAGAATTTAGGATATGTAGAGCACGATCTAGATTTTGTTCGGGATCAATATACCACTGTGGAAGTAAATATGGCACGTATCTACAATTGGGAAGTGAAGCGCAGACAAGCAGCAAAATCCACATGAAATTATCAATCTTACTCGCACTCGGATCTGCCTAAAGCCAAGAGGTAATTCTCTAAGAATTAAAGAAACATTTTGTGTGTGTATATATATACACACATAGCTCAATGAATTGATTTCTTTCAATGTCAATATTCCAATTCCTATTTTTTTTTTTCATTATATGTTTTATGTATTTCAGAATATCTACTGTATCATGAAGAATAAAATTCGTCAATATGCAGCATTATTGAAATTCGTGGAAGATTAAAAAATTAATTGTAACTCTCTCTTCATGTATCAATATTTATACATATTAAAAATGTCTACATTTTTGCAATTGATTCTAAAAATGTTATCTTTTTTTAACTGTCACAAATTGATTTTATTTGCATTGAATCTATATTAAGTCCTAATAAAACAATTCTCCACTATAATTAAAACAAAGATATTACAAATGATATTATATTGATCAACAAATGATATTACATTTAAGAGTACATGTATTGTAATAAACGTAAAAGTAATATTTATTTGGATTCTCTGAGATCTATTCTGTACAAACGACGCTTCACATTAATAAGTACATATGTCAAATACTTTACATGTAAATTTGTCCTTAGAAAAGAAATAATATGAAAGCTAACAGCTATATTGCGATTTTCTTAATTAAAAAACATGAATGAATGAATATATGTGTAATGGAATGTTTACACAAGTTCAGTAATTTATCTTATATTCTAACTTTAATAAACGTAATTTTTTTTTATTATAGTAACATCATATTTGTTATTATAGTAACGTCATATTTATTATAGTAAATATAAGGCACATAGACTGACTTCAGAAAAGTCATTGTCCAAAAAAAAAAAAGACTAGCACGAACTCTGGTCGAAGATATGTTATCCATAATAGTTACTCGGCTTGAACTTCATCCTTTTGTTCATACTTTGCTAATTTTGATTGCAGTTCGACAATTTTAGCTTTAGATTCCTCTAATTCTTTCTTCAAGATATCAATTTCCGAAGTATTGTTGACGATACCGCCAAGATTTTTTCGTATATACCTATAGTATGGATAAGGAAATAACTAATGTTTTTTTCATAAAGCGCACAATCAGAAAGCAAATATTTTCTGATTTAATAAAAGAAGTATAAAAGTTATATCAAATTAATGCTCTGATATCTATTTCTACCAATGTAGATTAATTTTAATCTTAGTTTAACTCACTTTTATCTTTCTCTAATTCTAAAAATTAGAAAAAGATCAATAAACTGAAGCATTAATTGATTAAAGTGAATCTGCATTGATAGAAGCAGACAAAAGACTTGGTTTCACTAATGCAAGATTATCTTTAACTAAATTGAATATTACTGATATTAATCTGATATTATCTTATAATAAATATAAACTGATATTAATCTTATAAGTTTTTAATCATACATACTGTTGAAAACCAGGCCTAGGTATATATGAATAATAACTTAAGTATCTTTCTCTCTTGAAACGTCTTAAATATCTTTGTTTTTAGATTGAACAATTATATTAAACAATATTGATTCTTTAGTAAGAATAAAAAAAGGATACTCTAAGGCATCAGTTGGCCTTTCAGTATCTTCATAGAGTGAGACAAATATTTTTGTGAGGGCATCCATGACACCAGCTCTTTCCAGATACTTGCGAAATTCCTCTCGTTTGGCAGTGATCGACTATAAAGCAAAAAGAATTCATTATTCCAAGAAAAAAATAGAATATAATCAGTTGATGAATTAGATTAAACTAGTACAAAACGCATATTAAATCAAGATGTTTCAGCTAAATTGCTTGGTTCCTCTTCCCTCTTTTTCTCTTTATGTTGAAAAAAAAGAGAAAAGATAAAGTACAAATTTAGCTTAAAAAAAAAATGTATTGTAAGATTTGCAAAAAATATCCGAATTTTATGAATAATCCATATGGATAAGATATTTTTCATTCTTATTTCTCTGTTCTTCACAGAGATCAAACTACATAAACTAGCACAAAGGGCTTGTTTGTCTGGAATAATCCATTCTATATCTGTCGCCTGGCGCACGTTTTTTCTTTACTGAAATAATGTCCGATTCATTTCTATCGTCTACCGTTGTAAAATTTTCCAAAAAGAAAAAAAACGTCGAATTTAATAATATTTGATAACATCAGTAACAGCAAATAAATGTATTATACAAACAGTATAACTATGGCCGATGTTAGTACGACGTTACAAAAATAAAACGGCATGTAAAATGACGCTCGCATCCATTCAAATCCGGTACGAACACGAGGCGGGCGATCTTTTCTAAAGAGTGGTAGATTAAACGACTAAAGATTAATTAATGAAACAATTACCATTGTAACGAATTTCCAACGCTTTCTCGCTCGAGATTCTCTTGAAAAACGCAGTCCGAAAGATACAGCTTACCAACTGCTTACCAACAGCAAATGAATGTTAAGACAAAATGATCAAAGCCAAATTAGCGCCTGTCTCTTATCACGCCATAAACATAATATGGCTAGAGTCGGATAGACAGAACATGGAGTATGAAGTCACGTCGTCACTGAAGAGTGGCGATCGTATAATTTTCCCCTAGAAAAGAAAATGTGAAAATTTCACACGACTTGACCATTGGCTGCGTTCAGCAGAACGTTTGTTTTGCAACTGTTGAAAGTTTCCTTCGCGCTAATTGGATCATACTTTTAGATCTAGAAGAATGGTCCTATCTCAGCAGACAATCATAAAACGGTTGCAAAACTGTTGAGTCTGCTGAACGCAGCCAATGGCTGCGTTCAGCAGAACGTTTG